GCAGCTCTTTGGCGAGCTTGGCCATCCCGAACTCTGTGACCCACATTTGGAATAGTGCCTTTCAGAATTGCCTATCCTTGGCAAATTTGACCATCCCTAACTCTGTGATCCACATTGGGACTTGTGCCTTTGTTGATTGCACGTCTTTGGCCAGCTTGACGATCCCAAACGCTGTGAGTCACATTGAGGATGAGGCCTTTGCTGATTGCAAGTCTTTGGTAGAATTGACCATCCCAGACTCAGTAACCTACATTGGGATTTGCGCCTTTGTGAATTGCAGCTCTTTGGCCAGCTTGACCATCCCAAACTCCGTGACCCACATTGGGGTTCGTGCCTTTGAGAATTGCAGCTCTTTGGCCAGCTTGACCATCCCAAACTCAGTGACCCGCATTGACGAGAGTGCTTTTCAGCATTGCAGCTCTTTGGCGAGCTTGGCCATCCCGAACTCAGTGACCCACATTGGGGCTCGCGCCTTTGCTGATTGCAAGTCTTTGGCGAGCTTGACCATCCCAGACTCAGTGACCTACATTGGACCTGGTGCCTTTGAGACGCGCAGCTCTCCGGCGGACTGAGCCATGTGGTGTGACCAGTTGTTGGTGACGTCGTCTCGCTCTGCTTCACTCGACGATACTCGACGGTTCTCATTGGACCAAGCGACACCGGCCGAGCGATCTGCCGAGCGACCACTTGGGGTGGACCCGGTGCCCTCCTTGGGCGCCAGCCCAGCTGACCCTGCTGGAACCTTCCGACCTCGGGGCGTCTAGAAAGAGCCCCTTGGATGTGATTCGGGGTGTCCAAAAACCACCTGGTGCTGTTGGAAGGTGCTGGTAGAAGACAGTCATTCTATAAACGGTGACGGGCAATCCGGGCAGTCTTGTGGCAGTGTGTTTTGTTCTTCTTCCTGCAACCCCGGCCGTTTTAGATGTTTTTTGAATGGGGTTTGGTGGCAGGTGCGTGTTGGGTGGTGGTCCTGGGAGCTTTTCTCAGCAGCTTTGGCCTATGGATCATGGACCCCTCAGGAAGCTCCTTTGAACATGTCCATCCTCGACGAGAAACCGCCCAACACCCACTTCACTGCTGGGTGCCTCTTCCTTCATGTTTTCTCTTCCTGATACCCCTAGATTCCAACTATATTATGTTTGACTAGGATTTTGGACTAGACATGACTAGACTATGGGTGATCTTCAGTGAACACGCCAAGCTGACTCACATAGAAGACGACTATATACACCTCAGCCTCAGCTCGTCCTCGCTACTACGCCTCGCCCTCTTGCCCCCTCCGGCCAGGCCTTCAAGTCCATGGACGTGGGTCAGGACCGGTGGGGCAGACGTCGGTGCCAGCAACGGACGGACCGTTACGGAACGGAACTGGGGACGGAGGACTGGCGGGTGAAGGACAGATCCGGCGATGTCGTAGAAGTGGGTGGGAGATGAGTGAAGTCATGGAGTGGGGAGGTTTCGAAGGTGAAGCCCAAACTGGGGATGTTCACGCCGGATGGGGATGTTCACGCCGGTGTTCACGCCGGTGTCTTGAGACCCCCACGTAGGTACATGGGTGCCGGCACTGTGCATGGAAATGGACCGAAGGATCCCGGACGTTCCAGGCCAGTTCGAAAGCCGTTGGTATTTTGCCAAGTTCCTAACTTGACATCAACACGTCGAGATGACGTCCACTCATTAGTGTGACTTGATTTGCCCGGCCTTGAGGAGATATGCAGCAATATGCAACATATTGCGTAATTATATGCCAAGCAGTATGCAACGTTATCGTGGTATAAGTTGTGGTGCAACATCGAGAACAGCATGGTCACCGTAGATCAAAAGACTTTCTGATTCCGTGTTCCATCCAAGTCTCTCCAAATCGGATTCTCGTGGGATTCCTCGTTCTGTCCATGTTCTCCACCGGGTTTCCCCGTCAGAAAGAACTACCCATGCACCGGCACCGGGAGTATCCGGGAGTTCGGAGTGAGGCTTCAGCTCTGGGCCATGCACCGCCGTGGGATCGAACTTCGAACGTACTCGTTCCTGTTTTGGGTCTGGAAGAGGCGGCCTACAGACACAAGAGCTCAAACACGGGGCCTATAGAAATGGGCGGCAGGGATTGTTCTGAAACCTTTTGGAGGGATTCATCGTGTAGCTGCTTTTGTGTGTGTTTTGTTTGGTGGGGGTTGTCTTAAGATGGCTTAAGGAAGCATTTGCATGCACAGGTCACCCCTTTTCTCAATCCTTCTTAAGTTTCAGACCTGCTTCAGATTGGTTTCTGCATCTTCGTGCCAGGTTCCAACCAAGCTCACAACCAAGCAATTGAGTGTAGCCAAGCCATGCCTCAGCCTCCTACCAGCTATCTCTAGTGAACTTGGACCTTGATTCCCATCTCCGCGCACTCTGATTCCCATCTCCGCCAGTTCCTCAGTCTGACATCAACGACACCTCGCTCAGCTGGCATCCGCCATGGTGGGCCAGCGACTGCAGAAGTACATCGCAGGCTGGGGCTTGGAGCCCCAGGACGTGCCCACGGTCATCACCACCTTCCTAGGCGCGGAGCGCTCAGACGGGTCATGCGGACTGGTTTTTCCGGTCACCGGCCAAGCCGAAGGGTGGAACGGGTGGAACGGGTGTGGCGTGCAAGAAGTAGTTGGTTTGGAAATCCCACATGAAAGACCCGCCGAGGACGCGAATGCCTCTAACACTTGGCCAGGATATTTGGACCTCTCTTTAGCTGTGATTAGGACGTGATGACGGCAGCAATGCTGGACACGCAAGAAAAACACACCTATATATTATATATATACTGCATTATACTGCATATTGAGCCCAAAAACCATGTAGGTCAACAAGCCAGCATGAACATAATTCCACCATATTCCACCCTTCGTAGAGCAACCAGAAGTCATCCACTGGAAGTTCACAGCTGTTTTCCCCAAGGTCCCAGATCTGTTTCATGAACGATCTGTGTCATGAAAGGCACCAGGTGGTGCTTCTGCTCTTTTTCTATTTGTTTTGTGTCTTGCCAACTCATGCTGGCGCCTCGGGTAGCACGATGTTTGGGCGCCGGAAGGGCCGGAGCAAACTCCTCGACTGGACACCCCGAGTTTGCTCCTCAGTCCAGGCAGTGGGACCCTGAAGTGTTCGATTCTTAGATGCTCGCAGCCACCAATCATCACCTTAGCACTGCATGCGCTTTTGCATGTCCTGCGTCCTGCTCCCTCCGTGCGACACGGAGCCGGGCTTCACTTCAGCAGCTGAGCTGGAGCCTCCGTGACTCCTTGGATGCCCTCGGTCCAGGTGCCAAGTATGTGACGTTGTGCGTCTTTGTGGGCCTCGGTGCGCGCTTCCAACCCCTGCGACGGCTCTTCCCGCGGGCGGCGCGGACACCCATCAACAACGCCTGGACACAGGCGACGTCCGTGGTGGGAAGCCGTGGGTGGTGAGTGAGGAGGGAGTAGAGCTATCAACATGATGACATGACATATGAAGTGCCATATGACAATGCAGATTAAACAGCCACCCCCGGTTTGGATGGCCCATGTGATGCCAAACCCTTCAATCCATTGGGGACGAGTTCTTGCAGGGCGTCCCGGGACTACGCCTGCCGTGGGTCGTGTACGGCTCCTTCAGGTGAAGAGTTGGGCTTCTGGCGAGGCGCGGCGCGAGGCCGAGAGGCGCCGAGGGGCTTGGGAGATGGGCAGGCGGAGGTGGTCCAGAGAGGTGGTTTGGATCTGAGCTCGAGGTGCGGTGAGAGGTGGGGTGATGAAGGAAATGGGTGCCAAAGAAGTCCCCAGAAGTCTGGGACTTGGTATCAAAGAAGTCCCCTTTGAACTTGGAGGATGTGGAGGTTTCACGATCGTCTTTTGCGGGAGCGCACGCGCGCTCCCGCACCGTGCTGGAAAACACTTCTGGAATCTTCTTCGGTATCTGCGGGGTAAAGACAATCATGTGGAATCTTTGCCTGATATTCCGCTCTAGGTCTCTAGGTCTTTTTCCAAATACCAGGAACCCTCTAAGGGGTTTCTATTGATAGCTCCTTAGAGGTTAAGGGGGTGTCCATAGACCACCCCTCGTGTGTCCTGGTATGTCTTGTGCCACGTGACGTTCCACTTGCCTCTTCTGTGTCCGTGACGAGGCGGAGCAAATGGGGTGGCTGGTATAGCCCCTGAGCTTGCGTTTGGACAAGGGGAGGAGAAGGTTCCCAGATGCTCCAGGTATGTACTCCATGTACAGTTCCATGGCCAACATGGCCAACAGTATGGCCAACATGGGACCCCGTTTTCCACCAGCCCTATGATGTATGTCCCAGACACTCCATGTATGCCATGTATGCCTACATTGGGGTGGTTTTGGGGGTCAATGTAGGCATATATGGCATACATGGAGTGTCTGGGTGTAGCTCTTCCACTCCGCTGTTTCACCGGAACCGTTAAGAGAGGACCGGACGATCGAAACACCTGAAGGACACCGAAGCGACGACCATCTCATTGGATTCCATGGCATGCACCAGAAATGGCACTCTGAATGGCATGCACCAGTCACCAGAGATGCAGAGATGCACCAGTCCCCAGCCACGGCGCTCGACTTTGGAAGGTCACGGTCACGGAGCGCCCAACGTTTAGAGACTTTCGCAGGTGCTGTTCAAGTACTGAGTAGATTTTGACCCGTCCTCACAAAACCAGCCTCCTTACCGCCAGGTCAATTGAGACTTGAAGCAGGGCCCAACAGGTCTCCCCTCGGAGACGAGGAGACCTGTTGGAGGTACCAAAGTCTGGATTTTTCTGTCCAAGATCATCAGACATCCAGAGATCCACCTATAACCCAGACGCTCCATGTATGCCATATATGCCTACATTGACCCCTCAAACCACCCCAACTGATCGGCATATATATCATACATGGAGTGTTTGGGCATTATAATACGGCTGCATCCGAACCCCAAAAGGAATGGTGCCGTGGGGGCTTCGAGTCCATGACCAGGTCACCGGTGAACTCGGCTCGGCTGAGTCCCACCTTCATTAGCTGAATGGAAGGGCCAAGGGCGGCAAGGGCCGCGAGGCGCATTCGAACTCATCGACTTCCAACTGCTTGGTTTCTAGACAGCCCCTACACTACTAAAAACGGTCTGATATTCTTGGGATATATGCCAGGATCCTCCACCAAATCTTTAGTTGAATGATGTTGAGGGTGTAGAAAGGTCCAGCCCGACCAGGTAGAGGGTCGATTGCCGGGCCTTTCGACCCCGAGGTCCCTGGTCAACGGTGATGATGACGGACGGACTGGGTGAAAAACAGATCTTGACCAGATCGACCCTTCTGAAAAAATAAGACTTGCATGTCCCAGACACGACCCATGGGACTGCCATAGGACTGCCGATCACACTCCATGGGACTGCCATAGGACTGCCGAGAAACGGCCAGGGGTGGTGCCAGAGGGGTTCAATGGGGCGGCATATATTCGAGTCCCATGGAGTGTCTGGGTGTGGTCAAGTCGATGAATTGGCGGTGAGAGCTAGGCCATGTTTTTTGTGTTTCACCCCTGAGATCTGAGAGCCTGCCCACACTTTGTTTGCTGTTCCAGCTGCGCATTTGAGCTTTTGACTGAGGTTGGGCATCAGACCACTACTGGCAATTGTCCGATCGACTACAAACCTCCTTAGCCACCTGTCGATTGAAGAGCCAGTGACATGGTCAAAAGCTGATTCCAAATGGGTCCATTAGGGAGGTTAAGATGGGGCTGGAAGATGGCTTGATCATGGTTGATCTGTAAGGCTTCAGATGAACTCGCAGATCTCTTTCGTCAGGCCCTTCCCCACAGATCTCACCGATCTCAGGCTCTCCAGGTTGACAAGCCTCCCTCAGCCCCTTCACGCGTCGTGTATTCGGCGAAATCGCCCTGGCGGCGCCAGGCGGGTCTGTAGCAACATGGGCATGTCAACGGGTGCCCGGGGGCGAGAGATGGCGATGCCAGCGCTGTCGGCGTCCCGCTTCGTCCATGTCTTAGGACCAGAACCGCATCTGGACGATTTTGGCCTCGAAGACGGGCGCTAAGCCCGGCCAGTGCTTTGGGCCAACAGGGCGCTCGGGCGCTCGCGTTCAGGTTTGGAGAGCCAAGATCATGTTGGATGTGTATTCAATTTGTTTCTCTTCAAGATTTGTGCGGCTTTTTGTTGCGCCAGTTTGCACATGCAATTGGCTGGTTCAATTCATTGATCCAGTTGTTTTTTGGGACGTTCGCTGTGACGAGAAGACTGCTCTTCTAGCTCTAGATGAGGTCGTCACATGTATATCACTGCGAATCGCTGCGATTGGTCGAGGGCACAATTTTAGGATATTTTAGGTCAAAGATCAAACAGCATAGTTCTCGGCTTAGTTTTCCCTTAGAATCCTTTATATAAAGTTTCTTTCTTGGGGTCGGGCTAGTGACATTAAACGCAAACATAGTCCAATCTTCCGATGGTCGATCCTCGATGTGGCGCCCAACCGCGCCGAGGTTGGTCCTGGGTGTCGCGGAGGGAACGATCCTGTGCCACGCGGAGCGATTCAAAGGGGATGAACGCAAAGACGCCGAAAAGGCAGGTGGCGAAGGTGGAACGTGGATAGCGGGGGGTCAGCACCCGAATACGATATGTATATAGGAACTAAAACCAATAATATCCAATGCTGCTTTGGTTATGACAAAGTGTCTAATCTGTTTTTGCAACCCCACATGTTTTTGCAAAGAAAAATAACTCCAAGCATGGTGCTATGATAGGAAGCTAGCGCTGGTGATGCTTTCACAAACGCATCTATACCACGTGTTCATACGTTTGTCGCACAGCTTCTCAAAGAAACAAGTGTATAACCCGGTCTTTTGTCAGACCTACGTGTCCCCTTTTGAACCGACTACTACTACTACTACTACTACTGCTACTACTTGTCAGACCTACTCTTCCCAAAGAACGAATTGGGTTCATGGGCTCAAATCGTCCCCTAGCCTGCAAGGGTCACCCTATTTAGCAGATCATTCGATGCAGTTTCTGCTGGCCACGGGGTGGCCTGGGGTTGTTGGCTTGACACCTTCGCAGACGGCAGATGTTCTGCAGCGAATGGGCAGAGTCATATTTGATTGATTTTGGTTTTGGTAAAGTGAGTTGCTAAGCAGAGTCATGTCATCAGGGGCAAGACCACTACGCAGGTGCCAAGATTTTTCACTTTGGTGGATGCAACCTGCACGTTCCATTCGGCGGTCTTTTCGCATGACATTTCTGGGCGATTTTGGGCGGATGCTCGCGACATCCACGCGGAAAGCCGCCACGCGCCGGTGAGTTCCTTGAGGTAAGCTCACCTTTCCCATTTGGGGCCCCTTGGAGCTCTTGGTCATCATGCCCCTTCGGTCAGAAGGGAGGGAGAGATGGAGCCGGCAGACCTTCTGAGAAAGTCAGAAGGTCACAGTGTACTTGAGGGCTGAACATGTTGCAACAGGGTGTGATGATGGTAGGAACGTGGTTTTTCTCAGCCACAGACGCATACTCCAGGCAACCTTCACTGATCCACTGCGATCCAGCTGGTGTATGTACAGGGTCGGTGCTGGTCAACAGTTTGTCATGGATATCATTTGTGGAAAGGATGGAAGAATATAGCTGAATCGGGTTCACAGAGGGGGTTCCTGACGCAGATCCTTTCACAGATCCTTTCACCATAGAGCTGCGGGAGCTCGACTGGCGATTCCATAAAAAAGGGATTCGGGCTCCCCTGAAAACAGACACACTGCCCACTTCTCCCAAAGACGAGAACCCCATGCCTGTCTTTGGGAGTTTCAATGCCATGGCGCTGAAAACCGCCCAGTAGCTGAACTGCCTGAGTGATCGCTGAACCTGGGCAGTGATCGCTGGGCTGCCTGATCCGCTGGCTGTTCTTCCGCTGGTCCGTTTTCTCCGCTTCATGAGTGTACTTTTTGAGGTCACGGGTGATGTCCTGAAGTCTTTTTTGAAGGGTTGGCATGGTTGGCAGTCAGAATCGGACATCAACCAGTTTTGTGAGGCTAAGCAAGGATCCTGCTTTCACCTGTTGAGGTCCTTGCCTTTTGATGCGACATCTCGCGTCTGCCACAAGTGCAGCAAGTGCAGCACACTCACCCCCTGCCCCAAGGAACCTTTGGCGCCGGCGGCGCGCGCCGGTGGCGAGCGACCTCTACGAAGAATATACCAAAGCAGCCGTTTCTGGGACTTTGACGGTGCGGACCGTTACACTCGGAAAGGGGGTGAAGAATTACGGTGAAGGGAAGGGAAGAGAAGGGAAGGAGGACGAAGGAGAACGGCGAGAGTGAGAAGACAGAAGTGCTTCGGGTTTGCATGCAAAGATATGCAAAGGGATGTTTTGGTTTGAAGGTGGGACTTAAGGTAATTAATAAGAGATGTAAGAGTCCATTTGAGGTTTCCTGGGTTCAATGATTGAAGTTGTTGTGCATGGTTTTTCAGCCAGATGGCCCGGCTTCGGGGCGGGACTTCGCCATACCAGCTGTGACATGTCGGACGACCAGCTGAGGAAGCCACGGAGGATGCATCTCAACTTTCGCCTGGCTTCTTGTGAAGGTGGGGCAGTCGAGGTTTGCAGTTTACACGTTCTTTTCTTGGGAAATGGTGCCTCCCAAGTCACCAAGTCCACTTAGCAAGCCACGAATTCAGTTGGTCTTCCGGCACCTCACTTTTAACTGCTTTGGGGCAGGGCCATGGTGGGCGATGGAGGACCAAATCAGCTTTTCAATGGCAACTTCTTTGCCCTAAATTTGGGCCAAAATGTCCTCCAAACTTCAATGTGTACCTATAGGATACCCTCAACACCTGAGAGTCTAGGATTGGTGCACCCCAATTTTGAGGCCCTACTGGGTGTTCCCAGGGTCCGCCACCAGTTGCCGGTCTCCTATAGGATAGTCGAACTAGGCTTCTTCAACCTCTGCTGGAGCCAGGTACTCCTGAGAGCTTCACGCCCGCGCCTGCGCCCGCACGGTTGCGTCAGCTGAAGAACTGGCAGCTTGCAGGGTCTGACTTTCGATACTCTTCATCGCACAGGTGTACGACACAGGTGTAAGACCCGTGACTGCTGTTTGTTGCCGAATTTTCGGCCTGCAGTGGTTGGTTCATGTTGAAATCTATGTCGGCATAGATTCCAAGTCCCCCCCAGGTCGAACGAATGCGATTTGGCCAACTCGGCCCGTTCCAAGAGAGGTGTTTCACAGCCCATCGCCCATCCCATACCACAGAGGGTCCGAACCTGAAGCGATCTCAACCTCTCTTGGTTGGGACATCACCCGACCTGGGGAGCCTTCTTCACCGACTGGGTGAGTCACGGTCTAAGGACGACTCTTTTCCTCAATCACCCAGTGGGGTCGCCATGGTTCCATGTGGTTCCAACAACTGAGAACCGAAGGGGTTTGGACACCAGTTCGAGAATCGTTTGGATGTCTCGGGTGTCCGACCTGAGACATCCAGAGAACATCAGTTCCATCAAGCGTCCAAGCGTTCCCAAAATAGATGTTGATCACCCAGAAAACAATATATACCCAGACACTCTATGGGACTGATAACTGATCAGGAAGTTCATGGAAGTTCATATGCCCCCGAGCCGGTTCTTTGCTGTAGTTGGTCTTCGTTCGCTCGCGCTGCGAAAAGAAGCTTGAGCCTGGCTCGAGCCTGGAGGGGACGGTTGGATGTGGACGAAGTCCAAGCCGGTTGCCTTGACCAGATTCGATCCGATCCAGAGATTCAACAGCTGACCCGAGCAAATCAAGGTTAGACATGGGACGTCAGCGACGGGAAATCAGCCTACTAGGCTCTACAGATCCAATCTGACCTGTCGGTCCAGTCAAAGCTATAGTCCTGAAAGGCTCATTGATTGAGTTGTGTTCTTGTATGACCCACTCCGGCCAAATGACGGCCAACTGACCGGTAGGGTGCACATGTACATGGGTTTCAGAGTAGAAGAGACCAGCTCTTCAAGATTACTTTTAGATGGGGGATGATGGGGGTTCATATTCACCACCCAACTTGGGGTAACTTGCGCCATCTACTCTGAACCACTGAGAGCAGCCGTGTGGGCCTTTGCGGAACAAGTTCTCTTCTATTCCGCCCAACACGGGCCTTCAAAGGACGACGATATGACAACGATTTTTATTTCATACACAAAAGTTCAGGTCAATCATTCTTCGAATGGTCGAATTGAAGGCGACGTTGACCGGGTGGAGGCACACTCTAGAGTTGATGCTGTGGAATAGTCCGGGGACCAGACACGACCTGTCAGAAGGCCCCAATAGGTGTTATTTTAAGACACGCAGGTCGTCGACCGGCATCCCATGAGGGTGTGGTTTGAAGTTTGGGGTCGATGTATAGCAGGACCTTCCTTTCGCCAGGTGTTTTTTGAACATCTCTTGACCTCTAAGAGGCTACTTATGAACACCTCTTGGAAGGCCCTGGTACATGGAAAGTTTGGGATATTCTTTGCCCGATCAAGTGCCCGATCGATGACACGTGGAACACAGCATTGCCGAGAATGATTGGGAGCCAAGGTGCCAGCAAGAAGCTGCGCTCGGGTCCTTCAAGTAAACATTATCCGTCGAAATCTGGGTCATTAATCCATGATGAACGATTTGGGCTTCCGAAGCTCAGTCATTGCCTTCCAAACCACCCCGCCCCATGACACCCCCCCCCTGCACCAGCAGCGGCCTCCTGTCGAACCCTTACGGACCTTACAACCGGGCTAAGTGTGAGAACTTCCAAGTCCAGAAACTATAGTGGATTGAGAGTCAATGGCGCAAGTTACCCCAAGTTTGGTAGTTTATATGGACCATCATGGAACCCATCTGTCGAAGACATCTTGGGGAGCTGGTGTCATCGAACCTCTGAAACCACTGTGCATCGCCTGTGCAGAGAGGTGGGACCCACGGAAAAATGTGAACACATCTCGAGGACACAAAGCCTCCCCTTTCTTCACCCAGACACTCCATGGGATTGTAATTGTTACCTACAATGGATGGGTCATTTTCATTCGCCTAAGAGAGGTTGAGAGGTCGCTTCACGTTCGGACCCCATAGTGGTACGTATACTTCTTACAGCTATAAGGCTGTTCGCCCTCTTGGGGGGGTGCATGATGTATCTGTAACTCTTCCAGTCCCATTCCTTTGGGCCCACTTTCTGGTTGCTTGGCCGGCGGTCCAACCCACCGGTCGTATGCGGCTCGGTCGTATGCGGTCGTTCACCAGGATGGCGCGCTGAGTGCCAACGATTTATCCGGCGCTTTGGAGCTTTCCGCACCCACCTTCCAGGAGCCCGGGCACGGAGCCTCAGATAGGCAGATGGTGGGGACCGGCCTGACTTCCCGACCCTGGGGTGATGTGGATGATGGGGGCTCTTCGGCAGACAGCAGAAACACCGCAGGAGGCGTCCACCGTTCTCCGTCCAACCCGCAGGAGACTGGTCGACAGATGGTCGGGGGGGCTGGTGGATGTGGATGGACGCGTGCTACGAATTCAGGAGGTTCTTCACGTTCTTTCGTTTGGTTCTTTCCTTTCCCAGACACGACCCAGTCGACGGGACTGCCAGTCCGGACTGCCTTCAAAACGGCCAGGGGTGGTGCCAGGGGGGTGAATGTAGGCGGCATACCAAGAGAGGTTGAGAGACCTGAACTCACGTTCGGACCCCATAGTGGTACGTATATAGATGGGCGACCTTAAGGCTGTTCAACCTCTCTTCCATACCCCTACGGATCCAAGTACCTTCTCAGAGGGTACTTGGACCTTCCAAACCTACATAACAGTGCCTCCAATCACCTTCTGAGAAGGTACTTGGATCCCTAGGGACATGGAGTGTTTGAAGTTCGCCTCGAGGAACTTCGACACCCGAAGGGTCGTCCACTCGGCCCCTGACCGACGGAAAACGAGCACACCGAGCACACCATCGGCCTCCTCAAATCGTCTTCCTTCACCGGAGTCCAGGACTCCACCATGTTTCTAACGTTTTGTGAACGAAAAACATCCGAGTGAGTGAGTGAAAAGGAACTGACACTGAACACTGATTGGGTGGTGCCTCAAATCGGCGAACCTGGACGTACCCGGCGGGTTTGTCCTGCCACGGTCGCACGTGCGACCGAGGCTTCGACATCAATCCGTCCTAATGGTGCCCATGTGGCCTCACGGACGCCACCAAGGTGGGGGTGGTCGGGTGGGGGAGGGAGAGGATGAGACCCTCTTAGCATAGATTTCAGAGGGTAGGGTCACCTACCACTTAGCAGGTCCCTATCTAAGGTAGGCTATATTTTAGGTTCTTTTTGGAACTGCTGTGGTTTTGTTTTAAGGAATCGGCAGGTGTTGAATATGGTTTTGAGATGGTTTTGAGATATTGAATGGAGATGTTGACGAATTGGGATAGAATCACATCAATAAATAGAGACGATCTAATCACTTTGATTTTATCACCACCTTCCTTCATTTCTTCGTCTTTCCGGTCTTCGTCTATGTCGGAGGTCACGAGATGGATGCCAAGACCTTGAACAGTCGCTTGCTGGTTGGGGCGCTTGGCTGTGACGGTCCAGATGCTTCCAGACCTGTGAAAGAAGGAATTCGGAAAACATGCGCAGAAGATCGAGAAGGATTATGAATTCAATCTAATTCGCATCGGCAGCATATTACCCGTATATTTATCTACCTAGCACTTCCAATGGGTGCCCAATGGAGGCCCGTAAGTAAGGTAGGGTCGTCTATTGGACACCCATTGGATGATCCTGGTATACATTGCTTACGCGGATGCTTTGATACTGGACTAAGGCGGCAAGTGGAAAAGAGAAGACAGATGTAAATCCAACTGGGTGGGAGAAGCAGAGACTGGATTTTGGGAAGCAAACACTGGATCGCATGAGAGATTTAAGACCCAACTGATTTGGTATTTGCCGTCCATCCAGCACAGCTAGGACGGATGTCAGCAGAGGTCACAAGATCTGTTTGGTCATATGTTGCTTTGGTCGATGGATGAGACGCATGACAGCTTGTTTGTGTCACCAGCTTGCTGGCAGAGAACAGATTAGGTCTTGGTTGTGTAAGCGGATGTCAATGGATGTCAATGGCCTTTATTAGACCTTCAATCCGCAAACCAACTAGAGGTTTGCACGGCTTCGCCGACTTGCTCCTAGTAGTAATGCCCCTTGTTCCTAGTACGTAGTAATGCCAGGAGCTACTACTAGCGATGCCAGTTGCTACTAGTAGCTTCTTGCTACCAAAAGTATCTAAACACCGCCTTGGGCATTTCCACGGGCCCTTCATGCTCTTCCCTTCAACGCCCGCTGAGCGGAGTTTCCCACTGCGAGGCCAAGTGGTCCACGCTGTCGAACGCCTTTTCCAAGATGGACGCCGATGGAAACCACCAGCCGCCCGGTGTTTCAGCGGCACCGCCTCTCCGGGGCGGAAGCCTCACTGCCTCCAAGCGAGTGGCAGATGGAGCTTAACATCGGGGGGGCAGATGCTTCCGATGGTTAAGAGAGTTAAATGAGGTTCTCACATGCTTCGCTTTTTTTTGGCCATTCCATCAAGTGGAAGATGGCACAGCAGTCTGAGATCCCCCACCTTCAGCTTCCTTCGCGCTGAAGGATGGGTATACGCACTACCTAGGGTCCAACCAACAAGCAATTGGAACGCCACAAGACGGATGGAGGAAGTTGGGGTGCCCCTGTCACATCCACTCACTGGATGGGACGAACAACACAACCCAGGCCCTCCATGTGACTCCTGGTGCACTCCAAGTCATGTTCCAGTGGATCCCTCACCCCGCTGCTTCATCTCGGGGCCATGGGCAGAAGACTCGGGGTCACACCGAGTTCGTTCGGAGGGGCCCAGAATCGACGTCCGACCCGAACAAAGGATGCGAACAAACATGTCAAAAGCCATAGCTACGTTTGAGCCCTAATCCCTGGTAGGTTGACCAGTCTATTCTGTTCATGTTCGGTGGGAAAGACCAGGGTCTCCCCTTTTTAGCCAGGCTGGACCCACTCACTCGACCGAGGCTGAGCCATGAAGAGTTCGGGGGCCTGGCTACTGGAAGCATCCCAGCAAGAGATCCTTTGGTCACTGAAATCTGGTGCAAACTTGCCCCCCAAAAATGCAGTAGTTTGAAGTTATGGAAGCAGAACCACGCATCAGGAAGGGGCTTCGTTGCTACGGTATATAGTCATGTAAGTAATGTTTTCTCGTCTAGTGAGGTCCCGATCGAGGACCCACAAGGGGTGGCTAATAGAGGCCCTTTAACCTCCAACTGGTCATGAATGGACATCCTTTGGGGGGTGTATTTCAAGAGGGGCACCCCCTTGTTTGGGTCTTTCTTTCATTCCTACTTCAAGTATAGGAAGGGCTGCATGTTTGCGCTTTCGAGCCTGGGTGCTGGTGCCGCTGCCGGGTGCCGCCGCTGTGTGCGCTTGGGAGGTTGGCACTGGTGCCGCTGCAGGGTGCCGCTGCTGCTGCGTGCGCTTGTTTATGGTATCTTGTACGTATTTCTTGGGTCCATGTGATGTTTTCAGGAGCGCTGTGACAGGCAAGTGAATAAGCTGCGGGAGCTTGAGTGCATGATTCTATGCAATGCCGGCGCATTTTTTGTCCTATAGGGAACGATTCATTCCATTGATTCCATTGCACCCTCGTAAACAAAAGATACAAAGGCTAAGGTCCGCCTCAAAGCCGGAAACCAAAAGCACCCAGCCGTTTTGGCCTAGGCCCTAGGCATCCTTGCTGGGAATGAAGATGTTTAAACAAGGCAGGAGATGGTTTAGGTAAATGCCAATTGGAACCTGATAGAGATTTCCAATGTTTTCCATTGACATTAGGCGCATTTAGGCGCCATTATGCGCCAACAAACTCAAAAGACTCCGCTTCGCTGATTTGCTAGAATGTTGGACGTTTGCTTGACCACAGCTAGATTGTAAGGAGAAGATAAGTGACAGCTCAAGAAGAACCCTGGTATGAACTAGGATTGCAGACGGTAGCCTACTTATAGCATACTATAATCATACTAGTTTTTTCCCAGGTTTGTGTGAGTGGGTGTCGCCCAGTTCTGCCGTTGTTTGCGCATGGAAAGCCAACCGACGTGTTTCGGCTCAGGATGCACATGTTGCATGAAAGAAAAACATGCAACACATTCAGACACATCATCGGACATCTACAGCAATCTCAAAACTGACCAGGACCATGTTTTTGATGTGTTTGGGCAACCACTTGTTGTAGGCTTCTAAGATTCTAGTGGGCACTCAAGTGTGGTGTATCATCGGGCAATGACCCCGTTTCACGGTGCAGTCCCAGTCCCAAGAACCCTACGAACTCCCAACGCTTCGGGGGTGCCTTTGGAACCCCCGAACACCTGAACTACTTGGATCCCTCGGTCAGTTTCTCTGAGCAGACGCATCAGACGGCAGCGTCGATGACCAAATGCCCGGGCCGCCCCACGACGAACGCAGGACGCGGCGCCGTCCGCGACACTGGAGGTGGCGGAGGGGTTGAAGAGAAGATCATGAGAATGAGAAGATGCTTCAGGGGCCTTGTGAGTGGAAATGTGATCTTTCATTCCTGCCTGGTGACTGGTGACCCGTGTTTCCTGGTGATCAGTCCGGGTGATCCGTTCGGGTGGGTCGGGAAAACCTCCCTACCCGTTGGAGGGTGCGATGTGGAATTGGGGTCCATACCCCATCAATCCAACTACATGTGGTCAGAAGCTAGGAACTGACCCTGGCACCCAGCACTGGCTATCCGAAGCTACATGAAGCTACGCCGATCCCATGGCACATCAGTACGGGCTGGGGCAGGCATGCCACTGTGGCATTGTTCCGATTCGAGGTTGGATCTTCTGGGGATGCTCCAAACATACCCAGACGCGACTAATGGGACTGCCATATATGCCTACATTGCCCCCCGAAACCACCCCAATGTAGGCATATATGGCTATCCCATTAGTCGCGTCTGGGATAGGAATACCTGGGGATCCTCTACCCTCTTTGCTCTTTGAGAAGGTGAGAGGATGGGTCATATGGCCTCAAAGTGTCTCACACAAAACTTCAGCGACTCGACGTTCTGAGGGGATTGTTTGTTTCTTTAAAAGAGACGAGCAACCTTGAGCCAAGATCCAAAAGTATCCCGACCATGATATTTGGAGTTCAATCATGTTCAAATAGAAGAGCCATCCAAGAGTGCAATGTATGATTTGACAATCCTAACAAGACCCCTAGACGTCCTATAGCTTGCACTCTATTTTGCAGGTTGTAAAGCGGATCGAATAACTCACCTGGTCAGAACTTGGCTCACCTGGTCAGAACTTAGCTCACCTGGTCAGATCTCGGCTCACCTGGTCAGAACTCGGCTCACCTGGTCAGACCATGTTTGAAATCGTGAAAACGGCACTTTGAGGGAAATCATTGAAACAGCTACTGGTCCAGAATTGCCCATTCATGGCATTGTTCCTCACCACTCCCAGACGTGACTAATGGGACTGCCATATATGCCGCCCCATTGGCCCCCGAAACCACCCCAATGTAGGCATATGGCAGTCCCATGGAGCGTCTGGGACTGGCTTTATCTCTTGCTTCCTTTTTTTGTGGAGCCATTGACACGAAGTGTCTTTTAATATTCTTGACCGGATGCGTTTTTTCTGAGCGTGCGGAAAGGGAATACCTCTTCCAATGAGTGTCATATAGTGTCATGTCTGGAGATCCCCCTCAGTCGTGTAGGGTTGTCCAGCCACGCGAGCCTGACACCGGGAGGCTCCGATTTGGGGACCAGAAGCCCTCGCATGTGCCCCCTGCCCCCCTCCAAAAAAAAGCATCAGAAGCATCGATCATTTTCACCTACTCACTCCAAGGTAGGTCGCTATAGCTGCTAGCAGCGGCTAGCCTTTGTTTCATAAAGGGTATGGTGACTGGAGGGAGCTACACGCCCATGTATACAGCTTCGAGTGACAGAGGTCAATCAGTGTGTGAGTGTGCGCGCGCTGGTTTTTCTCAGGTTTTTCACGTGGCACCGAAACGGAGGGGAATCACTTTTGAAGGAGGGGAGAGACGAAAGCCATCCCAATCCAAGACTTGGGCGCTTGCCAGCGCATGCCCTGCTTTTCAAGATGGATCCTGCATCTAGTCACAATTGCCATGTGAGTGCAGAGGCCTATGAATGCTTACAGCATGTCCACCAGACTTGCATGAGTCCTTTGGGGGCAATCTTTGCTGAAGCCATGCTGGAAAACATGGGAAAAACCATCATAGCCACAAAATGCTAAGGGCTGGAAGGATGTTCCCCTACGGTCGTTCCCTCTTCGGACCCTTCCTCCCTTCCTCCGTGACCGGAGGTTCGGTCGCCGAACACCGAAATGGCGGCCACATTCTCAGAACTTCCCATACCAGCACCTTCCAACAGGTCTCCGAAATGGAGGGTTGTTAGGCCCTAACAGGTTTCAATTGGTGACCTGTTGGAGGTGCTGGTATATGATATATACTACTGACTAGTAACTTAAAGACTTGTCGAATACAATATATGGTGACTTCCCAAGACCTATGTCATCAGGCCTTGAACCAACATGGGTCATTTGGTATAACTCTATCACTCAGTTGATCCGTATAACTCATTTAAGACGCCATGTTGGTCGTCCAGGCCCGGGGGTCGCAGGAGTCATGGGACTCTCAGATGGGATGCGATTCGCGTGCGTTCCACCGGTTTTCTCGGAGAGGACGACCTGCGACCAAACACCGGTGTGACTGCAGTTGAACCATGAATGAAGAACGCCCATCGGTGAGCCGGAAAGGAGGCTTATATACCTGGAGCTTCGTTTCGGGGTGTCCAATGGAGATCCATATAGCAGTGTAGGGCGTAGCGGCTTATTGGCGACCAGTTGGAAGGTGCTATAAAATAGAATGGTGGCCTTATTCCCATGGAAGGTTGCCCTCACCCCCGAATGTGAGAGAAACCTCTCACCGCGTGGTGTTGCTGGCCCCACTCCTCAGGTTTGATGGTCACAGACCAACCCCCCGAAAGCACCCACCCCAATCAGCAGAGCCTTTTCGGATGTGGGCCAGGAGCCCAATCCGGGATTTTCCACTCCACGTCACCCTGTGACGTAAACGTGGTTTTGGGTGGGTCGTTGAAGAGGGGGTCTCCCACCGAACCTGTTCGGAGGTGGGTCAGGAGGAATAAATCGGTTCCGGGCACTTGATCAGTGGTACCTTCCGACCTCGCGGTGTGTCCGGAGATCCACCTGTGGATTCAACCCTCCGTGAGGCGCTGGTTTGGTCAGTTGGGTGAGAGCTTGCCTGGCTGGGGGGGAAATCAAACGTTTCTTGACCCAGGGACCCAGTGGCTTCTTGGACGTCAAGATACGTCAAGTGGTTTTATGCACGAAGCTTTAATATGACGGTAACTGCACTGTAAAGCTGGTCAGGACCCGCACTGCTGCACGAGATGCCGAATTCTGCACGTCAGACACGCAAAGCAGCAAGACAGGATGGGACCGCGTTGGCTATTCAGGAGGCTCCGTCGCTGGGGCGCCGACGGGGACCTGTTGTCACCTGTAAGTTGGAGGGTGCTGGCGCTGGCAATTTGGTTGCACTGCAGTTGTTTCATGACTCTTCTTGCTAGCCTTGCAGGCGGTGTGTCATCTTCCCCGTTCTGCACTTGTCTTGCTTCCAACAGCCCCCCCGATGTCTGGAACCACTTTGCAGGAACCGCAGTGGAGAGGGAACTGCAGAAGCTTGGCGTTGGTGTGGCGAAGCCGTCGCAGGAGCGCAGTGGGTTGGATGACGGAAGGGTGCTTTTTGTCCAACAGCCGCGTTCTCTGCACCAAGCACATTTGGTAAGACATGGTAATAATTACATAAAATCTAGAAAATAAGCATTTGTACATCCCAAAAGGTCCACAAAAACCTTCCACTCACAAGAGGTTCAGCCCTCTACCTGTACGAAAGCAGCGGAAAAAAACACATCAAGAGGCTTGTGAAGACGAACCAATCGCTCAGCCTCCCTCTGGAGGATGTGTTTTTTCAGAAAAGGTGTGTTCTTCCAAGACCTGTTGGTGAATAGTTTGAAGGCGCAATGGGGAACTGTAAGTGGACATTTGCTGGACACTTTTGTCCCTCCAGCTGGGCTCCAGCTTAGAATTTTCTGCGAGTTATATATATATATATATTTGTGTTTTTGCTTATATAGTTATACAATATATATCTTATAGTTATATGTGTATATATAGAGAGTCATTGCAAAATGTACTTGACCATTGTGTTTGCTCGCCATCGTTTAGCAGTCCAAGCAGGATGTCGTTCAAACCAAAGTACCACGCAGAGTGTGAAACAGAATGCATTTCTTTTTGGTTTGGAAACATGCAGAAGTCACTCGGTTTCCAGAGCTGTTGTGGGACCATATTGGACCACACATGTTTTGGCATCATCTCGTGATTGTGGGCCGTGATCAAAGGCCATGTTGCATTTTTGCTCCGCGGTTTCCACTGATTTTAGCGTTCATTTATACCCATGGTTTTGACTGGTAGGGGTGTATACCTTCAATCGTAGCACTTTTTTTGTGGCGAACCAAGCAAATGAGCACTTTTTGGAGTTTCGTAGCGTTTTTTTGGTGAAACGAGCACTGTTTAATGATCTTTCAATGAAACGAAACATTTTTTCAAAATGTTGAGCACTGCAGTCTTCTTGGGCCAAAGGTGGAAACCCGCAAAATGCTCGCAACATGCCGCAAAACGCGCGCAGATTGCCACAAAACGAATGCAAATTAAAAAGTGGCGAACCACCCCAACATGGGTTGGATATGAGAGGGATCCACGTGCGATGGCATGAGTGTTTGTAGCGCTTTTTGCTTGAACGAGCACTTTTGCAACACGAGCGCTTTTTGTTGTAGCGAAGGAAGGTTCAGGCTGTGTATCGTTTGATGCTAGGCGACCGGTGTAGCGTTCTAAACCGTGTGGCACAGATGGAAGGTCTGCGGACTGCTGCGCAGGGTCGACTGAACAGCACCTGTCCGTTCCTTCACGTGCGTTAAGAAAATCCCCCGCGGAACTCGGGGAACTTTGGATCGGACATTTCAGGTCACTTTGAAGAAACCGTTTCCATAGCGGTGTCCGATCATTCTTGAAAAGAGAGGCGCCCCAAGTGCAGCAGGTTTTCGTCCAATTTAGCCTGTTTCATGGGGTTTCACTTCTGCCAGATGCCCAAACAGCCCTTGGGACCCTCAAAACCATAGTTAAGGGTCCAGACCCCTCCAAAGGATTCGGGTCCGACCCCTTGCATATGAGGGTCCAGGAGCGTTTGGGCTGGACATTTCTCTTGTTCTCTCGTGCGACGGACTCCAGGTGCACCGGAACCGGGTTTCGGTGCTCACACCCACCACGGCGGCGCGCGCCGCCTTTCACGCGCAGCTGTGGCAATGCTTCAGTGCACAGACTTGGCCCAACAAGGAGCAGCGTGAGGGGCAGCTTATCAAAGGTATGTGTTATCAAATATGTGGGGCCCCAAAAAAATGATAAAAACAACAATTCAAAGAAGTTTTTGAGCATAAAATGAAACATACTAAAAAACAAAATTTAATATGGTTGATTGTTTCATTTTACCATCAACCATATCAAAATCATCACTACCAACCATATCAATACCTCATTCATTTTTCACAAAATCATCACAGCAAACCATATCATCACCTCATTCATTTTCACAAAATCATCACAGCAAACCATTATTTAAATGCCTTTCATGCGTATTTGTTTTAATATGTCTTGAGAAATAGTGTTGCCTTATTGAACAATTACAAACAGAACAGATAATGGTTTTTAGATTAAAATTGTGTTTTTGTTCCAGTTTCTTTTTTCTGTATTCTTCATCTTCTTCATATCTTGTTCTTTGCGCTTCATTGTATCTATCTTTGTTATTGTAATGGTAATTTTTGTTGTAGTCTTTACATTTCTCGCAATGTTGCTCTTCCATCATTTCTCATCATATAACAATCTTTTTCTTTCAAATAGATTTTTTTCACATAACCAACATAAAACACTTCTCAGAAAAACAAAACAATAGACTATAATAAAGACATATTCTAAGAACAACACATATAATTCACATAAAAGCTACTTAAAGATTAAATGACTTAATAAAATATATAGAGTATTAATAGATCATCTATTAAATAATGGTTTAGCAGAAATACCTAAGAGAGGAAGAAAAGAATTAAAGCACATCATCATAGATGGTAGGAATTTAGATACAATAAAGCACCATAAATATCAAATGCTTTAAATAAAATACTTAAATCCAATCAGAAATACAAACGAGTATAGGAGTTATGCCTTAAACAAAGCAAAAGATGCTTACACCCTTGGACGGGCAAAAGTATTACTAACCAGAAGGGCAATAAGAAATAGATTCAGAGTAAATGATGTCCAGTCAGCATTTAGAAACTATGCCAATTCCATAAAACTTGAAAATAAAGCACTTTCAAGGTGAGCGAGGATTGGAAATGATTGCTCATCAAAAATCACGATTAAGAGACTTCTTAAAAACTAATAGACATATGAAACTTAACATCAGAACGGAAGGTTTATTTGCAAAACCTGAATATGATGATGGAGGAAATAAAATTGCTACAAGCGAACACCTTTATCAATTACCAGCAACACGCTACAATGTTCATAATGAGGGTGAGTTTATTGAAAATTCAAGATTTAGAAGGCACACAGTCCAATTTCGTATTTAAAAAGTTTGTTTCAATAACCATTCATTTTGATAAGTATGACCCTACAAGAGCGGGGAGGTATATAGAACTACCAGAATGGATTAAACTAAAAAAAGGCGTGTATCAACATAAAAAATAAAGACCAAACATGTTTCAAATACTGTATTCAATGTATAGTCTTTGATAAAATCAGTAAAAATCAGCCAGACGAGATGTTCCACTATAACAAGTTAAATGAACATATTTTTTGAATTGGGAAGGTGTTAAATTTCCTACAGGGAATAGGGACATAGACCGGTTTGAAGAAAACAATAAGCAAGTGTCAATAAATGTTTTTGAACCTGATGACTGCTTGAAGGACAACAACATAATTTTACATAGAGGAACTAAAAACAAAAATGCTAAATATGAAATTGATTTGTTAAAGATTTTTGATGATGACAATAATTATCATTACGCCATAGTAACAAAATAAGAATAGATTACTAAACTGTCAAAGCAACAAGGATGATAGTAGGAAACATTATTGTCATCATTGCTTAAATCCATTCTCAACTGAAAAGGCCTATAATAATAAGCATTTAGAAAAAGGTTGTATGGCATCAGAAGGGCAGCAAACCAAAATGCCTGATAAAGGTAGTTATAATGAATTTGAAAAACATAACACTAAATTACCGTGTCCTTTTGTAATCTATGGAGATGTTGAATGTCTAACCACAAACTCCAACAATGGTATAAAAGGCACATATCAGGAACATAAACCGTGCGGTTATATGTTGAATGTAGTAAGCAGGATTGATAATACATGCCAACCATACTTATACAGAGGTGAGGATTGTATGAAAAGTTTGTAGAACTACTGACTGAAATTAAGAAAGGTATAGTTGAAAATATGAATGTCAATAAACCAATGGAAATTACATACGAACAAAAATTAGAGTTTAGAAAAGCAACTCACTGCTCAATATGTAATAAGAAATTCCAACCTGAAGATGAGAAAGTCCGCGACCACTGCCACTTCACAGGTAAATACAGAGGCGCAGCGCATGTAACATGTAATTTAGATTATGCATTTGAGTTTTTTTTTAATGATCCCAATTTTTTTCATAACCTAAAAAACTATGATGCTCACTTAGTGATTGCTAAAGCAAATGAATTGAAACAGGCCGCCATGGGTTCCTTGTCGAGTCTGTAGTTAGCTAATGTTATTCGCTAGAATAGAATATAATATTCGTGGCTACACGTTTCTAGATGTTTCTAGTCACTGAAAAGGCCACCCAAAGAAACGTTCTCTTGTTGTTTCAAGTTGGACTGCTGCTTCTTGGGCTAGAAGAGGTTGGTTGGTTGCTAAGCTAAACAGGAATGTGAAGAACTTTGCTCTCCAAAACTGCAAGTTTGTAGTCCGAAATCTTCATTCAAGTTCGGGCCAAAGCTCAGGCTCAGGTTTTCAGCATCATGACCCGGCCATACTTCATGAATGCCATGTGTTTTAACTCATTTACTCAGCCCCTTTAGACTCCGCCAGGTGAACCGTTGTGCGCGTGCGCGGCCGTGCACCAGGAGCTGGTGGTCGTGGAGACGTACGATTCGACCGTCGAGCGCCTTGGAGGTCTTTCACGTCATCCTTTCACTATTCCCTAGAAGTCGAACCACCATTTTCTTGATAGCCTGAATCCCGAACCACCATTGTTTTACTGAGGGTTCTACACTACAAAACCAGATAAACCATTGAAAAATGGTCTTTGACTTCCAGGGTATTGGGTTGATTGCTTGAAAAAGGAGATGGCTGCCAGGTGTACAAGCAATAGATGTCAATAGATATGTGGCACCAATACGGAGACACGCAAGTCCAGGGAAAGAGTAGGGAAGAAACGATGTCTTCACAACACACATCCACACATGGTTGGCCAACTGATTGCCAACAGAGCAAGGCCCATCACAGGACGTCCTTCTACCCTCCTAGCGGAAACAACTCATATCAATCCTTCTTAAATATTAAATGCTTTTTCGCATGCTCCAAACCATGGTCAACAGACAGCGGCATCATTTGGATCCATCCTCATGGTGGACTTTGGGGTGCCAAGCCGCCCTGGTCGCTCAAGTAGGCCGGCCAAGGCAACCATCCTCGTTCTTTCAAGACCTCAAAGATGATCGCCTGGTCCATGTGGCGCTGGCCCATGATCTGAACGTTGGCCTGAAGCGCACCTCGCTCTTTAGACCGCTCTTTCGGGAGCCCGACGGTCCGCGACGCCCGTCGGACCGGTGAGAACTTCGCACCGTGTCTCGGCGGAGCGAGCGAACGACCTGTTTGGGACTGCCAGTCCGGGCTGCCGACGTACATTGGGGTGGCTTTGGGGTGAATGTAGGCATATATTATGGCAGTCCCATGGAGTGTTTGGGAATGCTGCAAGTGGCCTCAAATCTCACTAGACGCGACCCTGGACCCGAATCCTTTGGGGCCTGATTTGGAGGGACCGGGAAAGGGCTGTGAATGGAGCGTCTGGGTTGGACCTTTCGAGCGGAACTTCCGTTGTGCTAGCATTCCAACGGCTCCTTGTGAGCCTGAACCGAAATGCCTGAGTGTTTGGGGCGCATCCTGGCGGGTCGTGACTTTTGAGTATAGTGCGTTGGTGTTGCCAGCTTCCATTTTGCTCAGGTTTTGTGATAGCCTGCTCGTTCCCAACCATTGATGGCACAAAACCGGGGCCCTTGCTCCCTTTCCATGGTGCTTTCAGGTTTGGATCCCACCTGAGGGAGCAAACTCACTTGGCACAAGTTTGAGGATTGCCGGTTTGAGGGATTGAGGTGAAGCACCAATGTGACATCGTAGTAACACCTGTACTAGGCAGGATTGAAACAAGATGCGCTTCTAGTGAGGTAGACAAATGTAGACAACATATTTGTCCATCCACCGGGCTGATGCAATAGTTTGAGGCTCCAAATTTCAACACTGTTTACCTGAACTTACCTGACTTACCGTGACTTACCTATATATTCTATAGGTATGTCGACTGCCCTTTGAACAGCCTTTGTGGGAGTCCAGTTCGCTGATCTGCACCAAAAAATTTGGACCTTCGTCTCGTCAGGGTCAGCGTCTCAGGAAACATTTCGGTGCTGATGGCCAGTGGAGAGCACCTGGGTCTAGACCCGTGGAACCGCGAGGAGCGAAGGTTCCGCGCGGCCCGATGAGCCGCGGCCGATCCGCGACGACCTGAACCACCCTTACGACCGGGGTCTTCTTACTAGAGCTTGTTGGCTTTCGTTGGTGCCTGGAAGATGGTCCTGGTAACCATGGGCCACAACCATGTCAGGGTATGTTTGGTTTGCCATCCCATCGCGCAGCCAGACGGGTGGTGTTGGGGATGGGGATGGTTGTTCTGTAGCAGTTTGTGCATGGGTGCTGGTCAAACTGCGTGAGGTTTAGTGTTGCTGTGTTTTTTTGGCAGCCTTGCAGGTGCCATATGGGCAGCCTTGCAGGTGCCATATGCTTTGTAAAAGCTCTTATAAAAGTCCACCGCACGTCCAACCTTTTGGTAGTTGAGCAGCATCAGCGTCGCCAAGTGTTTGCTAGTGTTTGAATGTTGGGCGCTTGCGCATCGTTTTTCACGGACCCTCTCACTGAAATTGGCAACATATTTGCTGGCTATATCATGATGCCACGCCTAAGGGGTACAATCACGTTCATGGTGGCCTCTCAATGCTTCAGTGAACCTTGAGAACCCCCATCCATCCACCCCCCCCCATCCATCCAACGCTGCCCATCCGCGAATTGGCAAAACCAAGATGTCGTGGTTGAACCATGGATGTCATGGATGCTTCAGGTGGGTCCCTTCAAGGCGGTCCCCCCTTCCATGCTTGCAAACGGTCGGGATTCGGACCCTCAGGATCCCCCAACAAGCTCCGCAGAAACTGCTGGGCGCGGGCAGCGCGAGCCTTCGCGCCGCTGGGTGCACGGGTCGGTCCTTCGCCTGCCTTTCGGTCCCCCAGGTATTGCGTCAACTTCGACGATGATGATTTCTATGCTGATGGCTATGTGGAGCGGATGGTGGGGGAACTGCAATTGATCCAAGGCTCCAGGAAAGCGGAGGACACGAGACACGATACCATGTGATGATGACATGTCCCCCAATGCGGGGTTCCAAGGAGTGCGAGGTTTAGAGCGTGTTCGACTCGCTTCAGGTTTGGAGAAATGTATGACCTTTTCACGAGAGTTCTCCAAGATTGTCGCATATGTTTTGAGTCAGAAAAGCCGCACCAACTTCTCCAGGGGTGTGGAACATGACATCATGACCTTTGTTCTTCTAAAAAGGTGGTCAGACACCGGAGACCTACCAGATCCGCTCTGGGTCGCCCGACCTGCGCCGGTTTGATCTGTAAAAAGTGGGTCGACCTTGGCAGTTCGCACTGAGGAGGGGATTAGGTGCTTTGAAGCTCTCAGTTGCTCGGCTCAAGGAGCGTGTTGGGACCTCTTGCTGGTGTTGGTACTAAAAAGGCCACAAACTTGTTCTGTTTGACCTGGATCCAGAAAACGGGCCCTTCTTTTTGCATGAGCAAACGTCCAGTGATGTCGATCCCATCCCCCCCAGGTTCAGTATATACATAGCTTGCAGTTAGTGCCTGGTATGCTGGACAGTCCGAGAGTCTCCGCTGGTTTTTGACACTCTTATAGAGGGGGAACAACATCGAAGACAAACCGCGTCCTGGCGGGGGTTGGCAAACTATTTCAACCTCCTGGCGGAAGTTGGCAAACTATTTCAACCTCCTGGTGGGAGTTGGCAAACTATTTCAACCTCCTGGTGGGAGTTGGCAAACTATTTCAACCTCCTGGCGGAAGTTGGCAAACTATTTCAACCTCCTGGTGGGAGTTGGCAAACTATTTCAACCTCCTGGTGGGAGTTGGCAAACTATTTCAACCTCCTGGTGGGAGTTGGCAAACTATTTCAACACAATTGTCTTTTTGGGATATTTCTTTTTGGATACGTTGGTCACTGGTGCTTTTGCTTTGGGCCTGGCTTCGTCGCTCGACCTCGCGAAGGCCTGGCACAACTATTTCGAGTCCACCGGGCGCTGTGGCTATTCCACGCCACACACCTGGAAGGAGGTCCCGGGCGTGACGACCGGGGACCGTGCCGTAGGAGTCAGCTCTAGACCCTGGGAGTCAAAGACCATCAAAAGAATGGTCTGACTAGGTGACCCGAGTCAAGGAATGTCCTTTACTTCAGCCGGTCAAAATATAGTCGAACTGGACTTCAGCCGGGTATAGGTGATACTGATCGGTGTCTTGGGTCTGGATGGCACTGGATGTCACTGGTCACTGGGTGGTTGGAGGATTTTTGTGGTTGGAAGTGGCCACTCGAGTGGCCGAGGAAGAGGCCATAAAGCTGCTTGAAAGGTCTTGGAGGCTCAGACTCCTCGAAAGGAAGGAGTTGCCAAAAATCTCAAGTTTCTTTGATCAGATTTGTTCTCAGGCGTTCTGAACAACACAGGGATATCGCTACTATCCGCTACAATCGCCACACCCACGGGCCTGGCAGCTTAGCAGGACGAAGAGCGGGACAACAATGTCTTCGGCTATGGCTTCAGTTATGCAGCACAGCTGATTTCAGGGGGAGTGGAGTGCTTTGTCAGATGTTGTTGGGACAGATGGGTCATGAGTCAGAAGGAGGACATGTGTTCTCGGGAAACGGAAGGCTGTGGCCACAAACCTTCACATGTAGAACATGATTTCACAAACCAGCACCTTCCAAGGGGTCACCTGGCTGGAAGCCCGAGCCCACCACTAAGGGACCTCCATTGGACACCCCTTGGATGGTCCAGGTATGTTTTACCATGTTTTCCTTCCATGATGATTGTGCAACTCACCGGCGGGACCCCTTCGCCCGTGACCCTATCGATGTAATTTGTGTATAACCCGTAATCCGTGGCCCCAAAGCGTAGAGCAGCTCTGAAGAGGATGTACCACCGCCGTCCATTCCACCATGAAAGGAATGGTTGTTGACTTATTATTGACCTGGATTTGTAGCCCAAAACAACATCAACAATAACTAACTAGTAATGACAACCGTTGGTTGGTAGGTGAAGGTGTTCTTGGCTTGGTACTTTTCCCAGTGGATCTCAGGTGGTTTTTCTTCACTCCAAGAAGACCTCTACCTGTGGGTGCACCAACCATGGAGTGTTTGAGGCTTGGGTCAACGACATCGTTACACTCACCGCTGGTGACGTGTCAACCGGTGGCGTCCTTCGTTCGGCGGAACCGATGGAGCGCCGAACAGGGCGGTCCGCGGACCGGACTCGACCGGACGCCCAGGTCTATCGGCGAGAACTGGCGCTGGCCTATCCCTATCCTCACCTGGACTTTGGTGAGGCTGGACCGTTTTGCACAGTGAAATCGCCTAGCCAAATTGGCCGGACATCAAGGAGGGCCACCGTGGGACCTCACGTTGGTCATTGCACCAGTCATCGGATCATATGCTTGTTGCAGGTCTACCAGGGGGGGCCCATTGCAAAAGGAGGGCATATTTTCGTGGGATATATTTTTTTTTGGGGTGGGATACTTTTTTTTTTAGGGCTCTGGAAGGAAGGAAGGAAGGGAAGGAAGGAAGGAAGGAAGGAGGGAAGGAAGGAGGGAAGGAGGGAAGGAAGGAGGGAAGGAGGGAAGGAGGGAAGGAGGGAAGGAGGGAAGGAGGGAAGGAGGGAAGGAGGGAGGCAAGAAAGACAAAATAACAAAGAAAGGACAAAAAGGAAGATAAGCAATAGAGCTAAGCAGAAAAGAGAAAGAACTTAGTGGGCTGGTTAACTTGTCAATCATAATACATACCTGGAAGCATTAGCTGTGTGTGCTCATGGGGGGGAGGCGCTGCTCCCTCCCCCCCAACCCCCCTCCCGCTTATTTTTTAAAATTTAGGCTGTTGCTACAGCATGCCAAAGACAAACCAAGAAAACAACCAAGCATTAGCAACCAAAGCATTTGTCCCTCCAACCCGTAGCAGAAGTTAATGGAAGATCACCATGGAAAACAAAATGTCACCAGGGAAGGGAAAGGTAAAAGGAAATGGAAAGGAAAATGTAAAGGAAAGGGAAGGGGAAAGGGAAAGGGAAAAGGGAAAGGAAAGGGAAAAGGGAATGGAAAAGGAAAGGGAAAGGGAAAGGGAATGGAAAAGGAATCAGAAGACGCAAAAAAAAAAGTCCCATTAAAAAACAAAAAAATATACCGCTAAAAACCTGCAGCCATTGCAAAAATAAGCATGAACATCCACAAACATGGTTTGGAAGGTAACATGGAATTCCATGAGTTGTTAGGTTTTCTCTGTGTTCCAAGAACGAATCCGAATCATTACGTAATATGTGGTTTGGTTGTACGTCCGAGTTCCTCTACAAAGAAGTTTCTCAAGTTTCACATCGTGTTTGGGTGGGGAACCTTTAAAAGCACAACTAACAATGAATAACCTCAAACATTTAAGAATATCCTTCATGACGATGGCATAGGCTCAAGCCGCTGGCATTCACGTGCCAATGTAGCAAGAACAGCTCAGCTGAACGTTCCTGAGCTACGATGATGAACATTCCAGTGCAGCAGTTGAGTGGGGATGTTACCCTAGTTGAAGCAGTTCCGGACATGACCATCGGCGAGCTCAAGAGACAGCTCAAAGAAAGGCGAGAATGGAAAGATGAGTCAATGAAAAACATGACCCTGGTCGAATTGGTGATCGGTGAAACCAAGCTGATTGACGATCATGAAACAGTTTTGAGAGCAGGTCTTTCTGAAGAAGCAGTTTTGCAAGTTTGCTTCACAGTCCCTTCAATAGAGTGCTCGACAAAGGACGAAATCGATTGGAGGAGCTTCTCCAAAGCCTTGGTGAATATTCCAGAAGGTGTGAAAGACATTCAAGAAAGAGCCTTCTTGAACTGCAACATGGTCGGAGGCGTGACCTTTCCCACCTCTTTGACCAGGATTGGAGATGAAGCCTTCAGTGGCTGCAGGTCCTTGACCAGTTTGACAATTCCAGACTCTGTGACCAAGATCGGAAATGGTGCCTTTTCCTACTGCAGCTCTTTGACCAGTTTGACAATTCCTAACTCTGCGACTCAAATCGGGCACCAGGCCGTTTGTGCTTGCATGTCGTTGACTAGTTTTACAATTCTGGACTTTGTGACTGAGATTGAGAACCAGGCCTTCTATAGCTGCCGTTCATTGACAAGTTTGACCATTCCGGACTCCGTAACATGGATTGGGCATGGAGCCTTTTGTGGCTGCAGCTCTTTGACCAGTTTGACAATCCCGGACTCCGTAACCCAGATTGGAGATGGAGCCTTTGCTGGCTGCAGTTCCTTGACCAGCTTAACCATTCAGGGCTTTGTAAGAGAGATTGGGGCCCAGGCCTTCAGTGACTGCAGTTCTTTGACCAGTTTGACCATTCCGGACTCCGTAACACGGATTGGAATGCGAGCCTTTTGTGGCTGCAGCTCTTTGACCAGTTTGAACATTCCGGTCTCGGTAACACAGATTGGATTTCTAGCCTTTTGTGGCTGCAGATCTTTGACCAGTCTGACAATTCCGGACGCTGTAACCCAGATTGAACATGGAACCTTTTGTGGCTGCAGCTCATTGACCAGCTTGATCATTCCGGACGCTGTAGCTCAGTTTGGGTACCAGGCCTACTGTAGCTGCAGTTCTTTGACCATTTTGACCATTCCGGACTCCGTAACAGGGATTGGAGATAGAGCCTTTGCTGGCTGCAGTTCTTTGACCAGCTTGACAATTCCAGATTCTGT